TTTTCATTTGAAGGAGAAAGCTCTAGATCGCATCAAGTGGAGGAATTGTTTTGGAAGAGACTGTGGACCTGTCGTGTTGACAGATTACTGATGATGATGATGATGATGATGTACTCCAGCTACATCATATAAATGATTGCCTGGTCACCCTCATCCATCACTGGCACTTAATATAAACGTGAAACTCTCTTTTTGCATCTCATTTTTGTAGGTCTGTTGATGGCAGATGATTAATGCCAAAGCACACAACCTTGTTAACCATTTTAATAATGTTGTTCAGCTGTTTTAAATTGTTTCATTTTGGTCCGTTACACTATTATACATAAAATCAATACAAAGTCCGTCGAGTGTAACAATGTTTTTTAGGTCACTTCTTTCTCACTCTTGCCTTACATGTTTCGGTTTTAGTAAAACCATCTTCAGAGGCACATGGTACTAACAAGAAAACACTGGCGTTGTTTAACTGTACACAGTATATATGCTGTGTGGGCACTGCTACAAATGTCGATGTGTAAAAGCACAACACTAGCTTGGAGTACTGAATGCACGTTCAACCTTCGCATTCCATCCGAAGTTGCCCTCGCGTTAAAACATCACTATTAAAATATTTAAAAATATTTAAAAGTTTAAGACATCACTATTAAAATATTTTAAAAATATTTAAAAGTTTAAGACATCACTATTAAAATATTTAAAAAATATTTAAAAGTTTAAGACATCACTATTAAAATATTTAAAAAATATTTAAAAGTTCAAGACTTTTAAATATTTTTTAAATATTTTAATAGTGATGTTTTAACGCGAGGGCAACTTCGGATGGAATGCGAAGGTTGAACGTGCATTCAGTACTCCAAGCTAGTGTTGTGCTTTTACACATCGACATTTGTAGCAGTGCCCACACAGCATATATACTGTGTACAGTTAAACAACGCCAGTGTTTTCTTGTTAGTACCATGTGCCTCTGAAGATGGTTTTACTAAAACCGAAACATGTAAGGCAAGAGTGAGAAAGAAGTGACCTAAAAAACATTGTTACACTCGACGGACTTTGTATGGATTTTATTGTTCAGCTGACTTATTTTTAAACTCAATCATGATATTGGTAGTGGTAATAAATCCACATAGGTAGAATATATACATTTGTTCAAACACGTTCCTTTGTTTAAAAAAATTGTTAATTACATACACACCTTTGGTATCGAGTCTCTGCCTTTTCAGCATGTTCAAAAGAATCCTTTATGAAGTAAAACCGTATTCCTTTAATCATGCTGGAAAGGTACACTTCCCAGTCTAGCAAAGCCATGTCAAATTTGAATAGAATCTTGTCTTGAGGACTCATCCTTTTCCAGAGATTCTGGACGTTGTTATTATGAAAGTTCCACTGCTTAGTGCTGAAGTATGCAATAACATCAGTGAACTTGGAAATCTTCTGGTATGCCTTGCACATTCTGTAACATGTTAAATTTTATCTGAACAAATTAAGTAATCATACTATCTAACATACTTTTAAACTTAAAAAGCAATGAGTGTTTCAAAACCTGACACTGCCTCCATTCATCAGTCTAGGAGGATTCTTTCCAAGGAGGGACAGCCAGAACGTTTGCTTTGAATCTCACCTATAAACAATTTAAGTCAATTTTAAAATAACTGTGTAAATCTGATGGATTTTCCAGTGAATGAGATTAGCTCTTTCTAAGGGGCCCAACTGAGTAGGTGTTTCCCCCTCCCCCCTTACCTAAGGATGGAAACAGATTCGATTTTGGAAATGCTGTATTTTCTGTTCTGTAGAAAATCAAATGATGAAAAAAGTCCAAGAAACCAGTAATTCTGTTTATTTTTACTGACTGCCCTTGAGTATTCAGAAGAGAACTGTATTTTTTAATACTTTCTTCGTAATTACTAATATTTGACATAATTTCTTCATTTTCTATTTTATCCCAAAAATACAATGGAAAGGGGGAGGGGTCCAGATGTTTAATCCCTCCCCAGTGCCTTGTCTCCATTACTGAGAGTGATAAATCCTCAAACATAATGCCAGTGCTCTCAATATTTGTAAAATAAGCATATTTAGCAGACCAGTTCCAGAATAATTTGTGAATTTTCATGGCAAGCTTCTTTTTAATGGTGAGAGTGAATCAGCCCAGCACTGAGCTCTGTGACAGTGTTACTGTTATACACATAACAGAGGAAATGCCATTGCTTTATTCCGGAGATCAAGCCATGGCACTATAACCATTACATTCTGGTGTGAAGGGAATATCATGTTAATATTAGTTCTCTGAGTTTGTGACTTTGATTGGATTATTTGAGGAGTGTAAACCCAAAGCAGTTGAGCCCACTTTGGACTTCTCAGTCAGTCAATCTAAGTCAATTTATTAGTGAATCCCAAGCTGAAGGACCACCTCTTATCAGCTGTCTACAGTTACTTTTCTGCTGTTAAGCATGCTATGCCATGACAAGGGATCTATTTAATATGGAGTTGTAAATTCTTATATTCAAGTTTGGTGCAAAGTATTTTAAAGATACTCACATTGGTTTTTTCCCCATGATCTTAGCTCCAATATCTGTGATTAGAGCTGGCAACAAATGTAAAAATATGACGTAGATATTATGGATGAACCTGTGCTTGTTGAGCGTGAAGAAATAATACCATATACACTTCAAAGATGGGTAGTTAATTGCATACTCGTTCAATTTCATAAACTCGCCCCATGTAATGGGATTCTGTGTCGATGATACATAATTGTATATAGGAATTATATCTTCATTCTTACATGTAGTTTTCATTTTAGTATTCAGATATTGTGCTGGTTTGTTTTCAGACCTGCTAACAAAAAATAAGATCAGTGATCTACATACATACATACATTACATGCATATTCATACAGATTTAAAGATCAAATAATATCTATGAGAAAGCCAAGAGGCTAATAAAATTAGTTATTTTACTTTCAATTATGAACAAGGAAATTCTAGAATTACTTGTTATTATCCAGTTAAAGAATTGTCGACTTCCCCCTAACTTTCCCTAAATGAATGAGTAGCAAAGTCCATCAAGTGCAGCAAAATTAATATAAAGATATAAAAGATTGCCTTTATGTGTTTCAGCCATTACTGGCCATCATCAGAAGGCAAAACCAATGCTACAAAAAATATCATACACATAATTAACGTAGGTTCTTATAAAGAGATTTCTGCCATCAGAAATTGAGTAAAAAAAAAGTGAAAGTATCCCTGTAACAGGCCATGGAGGTGCATAGGGTTGTGAGATGTTGAGGTTCCCACATTTTCTAGAAATCGGCTCATAGATGGTGGTAAGGTTGTCAGCCTTACGCACTGGCCGCCTTTTACCGCTAAGAATATTACAAGAATATTTCTGGTACTCATTTCTGTTAGAGTCGACCCCGGGGCCATAGTGCGGCTGGAAGGATTAGGTAAATGGAAAGAATCCACCTCATTGAGATTTGATCCCACAACCTTCCGGCTTGTAGCATATTCTCTCAACCAACTATGCTGCTTCGTGCCCCCTCAGGAATTGAGAGTACACTAAAATATTAATGTAATTAAATAAGGTGTTGTTAAAATAATTAGACAGTGTTAGTTAGAATTATTAAAAGTCTTGTATAACTATATGAACATAACAACAACCCTGTTTGGTACATATGTCCATCTGTGTGATACTATGTGTGTGTGTGTGTGTTCTGCTGAGGGCCATGGTAGTGTAATATTACACTAATATTTTAATCTACTCTTGGTTGATAATAGTAGAAATCTCTTTATCACAACCAATGTGTATCAGGCATGTAAATATTTCTGTGTAGCTTTGTCTGTGCCTTCTGATGATGGCCAATAGGACTGAAACCTGTGAAGCTAATCCTTCATATTAAACTTGTTGCACATGGTTGGGCTTTGCTACTAGTTCATCTATCAAAACATCTGATGGCTCAGGATGTCTGTTTTATTATTTTGTATGAAGTGTGATCTCTTATTCTGAAGGAGGCTTATAAATGCAATTCAGTGAAAGCATGATTTAGTGTTCTTGCATTTAACTAAATGCTGAATTTAGTGATTATTTTTTTTCTGGTTCCAGCTGAAGTCCAGTGTATGCAATGCATTATTTTCCCATATTTGATTAATATCTCTTTTAATAAATAACCTGCACATCATGTAAAAATGTTTGTCATATCAGAAGTCATGCCTTGATTAGTGTAAATGTGGTGAAAACAGGAATCAATATTCACACACTGAATACACACAGGAACAGATTTAGCCACGGTGTGGGACAGCAGATCATAACTTTTGATGCCAAGTCATACTAAGTTCTCCACACCAAACTCTGCTACGAGCCCCACCAATCACAGAAGAGTTCTGTAGTGCAGTGCTTAAAATTTATTTTTTTATTGTCATAGCTACTGCCGTTCAAGGCTGTGTGACTGGCTATATGAAAATAAAGTGGTTAGTAAGAAGTATCACTTTCGGACACCAGCATTGTTCTCTTTCAAGACCATGTCACTTATGCCACCATAGTCATTTTAAGTTTTGAACAAGTTGGGTGTACTAGTTGTGCTTTGTGTGTGGACATATCTTCTCTTTCTTTCCTTCTTTTTATTGGTGCAGGAGGGAGGAACTTGACAATTGTGTAGAAAGTTTAAGAAAACCTACACATTGCAAAACTATTAGTGGCTTGAAATTTTAATCTTTCACTAGAATCATTGTGTGGCATCTTGAAAAACAGAGTACATTCTCAGTACAGAACTGAAGAGTGGAGTTGGAGCAAATAAGAAAAAGAACATCGTAGGTTCTCCTCCCGATGAACAGGAGAAGGTCTTGATAAAATTGTACAAAGAAATACATTCAGGATACTTGCTAATTACTAGACCAAATATAAGATAAATGATACCAGAGTGGTCATGAAATTAAAGACTTATTATTTTCAAGCTCCAAATAGATGGTTGAATAGGTATAAGAAGCATCATGCATGAAAATACAAAAATATGTGAGCAAAATTAAAGTGTTGTATAAAATAAGTTGAATATTAGGTGGCTGACTGTATTATTACCAAGGCACTTGAAAATTTACAATATAAAAGACATTTATAATGCTGATGAGACTAGTATGCTCTTCAACATTCTTCACCAAAAACCTTTTTCTCTTAAATAGAACCTATGAGTCTGGTAAGGAGGTTTGTCTAGAAGGAAACACAGAGGAAACTAAGTATATGTTGCTTTCTTGTCACCAAAGTGCAGGGCAAAATCATTACATAAAGATAGGTAAAAGGTGTTTTTAAAATACTACACATTTCAGATATTTGGGAACGACTATAACAAATCAAAATCAGATTCAAGAGGAAATTAAGTGGAGATTGCGATTATGTAGTGCTTGCTACCATTCAGTCCAAAATCTTTTGTAGAATACACTGCATCAAATCAAAGACTAGTGAACAAAGCAGTATCATATGTAGAGAGAAATCAGGAGGTGAAACTAAATGTTCTCCAAGCAGTGTGTCTGGTGACAACTGCTTGGAATGTAGTCAAGCCACTATTTCAAGAAAGCAGGCTTCAGCTGTAATGATGGTGTTGAAATTAATAAAGATATATCTCATATATGAAGAAGACTCATGAATTTGAAGAATTTGTCAAGTCAAAATAGTGTGTGCACAACAAGATCTTCTCAAGATGTGCAAATTGCTTGCGATGTTAAGGAAATTGAGAAGGAAGATGAATAAGAGCAAGAAGAGCCAGTCCCCACTTTTGGGGAAGTAGTTGAGGTATTTGAAATTGTCAGAAAGTACTTCACTTCCTTCAGTCATAATGGGACAATTGTAACAAAACTGAATGAATTGGAGAGTGACCTGCTAATCATTTTCCACGTCTGCCAGACAAAGCAAACAACTTTGTTGAAATACTAAATATGAGCTTCTTGCACGTGTGAGTTAGAAGACTGATGGCTATTAAAATTCACCAATATTTCGAAGGAAAGTACTTTCAAAAAGTAACTTCCCTTTCATGTATGTGTGCTACGTATTAATCTATTCTGGTATCTCTGGGTATTTTCACCAACTGTTCACTTTTCATTGTGTTATTCTATTGTAATCAGATGCATGACACAGCTGTTCCAAAAGGAAATTGATTTGATATTATTTATTATGTAATTGTATTTAATTTTGTTGTAGAAACAGCATCCCAACTACTTATGTCATAGTTACATAACGTAACTGATTTGATAAACGCTGTGTTTTCTGTAGATCCAACCAAAGCGCCAATAGACTGGCTGGATAGTGATCATGTGATATGTATTAATGTTGGTCCATGTCTGTTCTGTGGCTATATAATGAGTTCTGTGAGCTGTAAGTTCAGAGAAAACTGGCACTGTGAGTTATGAGTTGCAACAACTCCAGTAACTAAGTCCACCAATTGTACATGAGCCTGAATCATTTAAATCCAGTTCATAGTCTCACAACCTATTTCACAGAGATGTAATCTAATATTATTTTCCCACCCCTTGGCCTTTCAAATAGTTGGTTCCTAAGTTGTTTTCCCATCAAAATTCTGCATGCATTTCTTCTTTTTTCACATGAGTTACATTTTCAGGCCATTTTAACCTAACAGTGCTAGCTGAGATGTATAAATCACAGAGCTCGTTATGGTCCAATATTATCCACGTAGGTAGGACTTAAGAGTGTTACAGTGGTAATTGTTTGGATGGTAATCTTTTATATAGGATATTATCAATATTTTAGAGGAACATGGTCCCCATCTTCAGGATCAAAGTGAGTTTGGTGAGGATGTGGTTAGGTTATGTAGCCAGGTAGCAAAGAAGGTGGTAACTTGATTCACAGGACGGGGGGAGGTGATGGAACTTATTCCAAGCCAGTAGAAATGGAAAACAAACTGTGAGGAAATACACACATTTTTTAGATCGTCAGAGATGGAAAGGTATTCATGAAAAAGAAATCGTTTTTGAAGTCACAGTGGAGGAAGTGAAAGAGAGAACCTTCCCCTTTTTGAGGGCCCAGATAGAGTGTCATGTCAGGAAGGTTGTGGAAGACTCATCCAGTGCTTAAAGGAAGAAAGTTCTCCCCAAGGACTAAGTAGTCACTTCCTCCTCAAACAGCACTCTTCTAAGTGGGAATTTGCGAGAGGGCTGTTTCTCACTTCCCATCTGTAGTATCTCCAAAAGGGTGGCTTGTCTCACAGTCTGATTTCTCTGCTGCATTGACAATATAGTGGTCCTTGAATAGGCCGGTTTCTTGTCATGGCATGTCTCTCTTATGACTATAATATTGTCATGTGGGCTGAATACAGGGGAAAGGGGGATGTTGATCACATTCTAGCGTGTGCATATCTCTTGTTCAGTGAAGGCTCAAGACCTCCTTCACGCATCTCCCAAAAATGCAGAATGCCTCATCCCTCGAGCATGTCGAGCATGCACTTGACTTTTCTAGAAATCTGACCCCTATAAAACTGATAACAATGCTGTTCATTGTGATCAAGAGCTTAGAAGCAGTGTATAGCGTCATATTAAAACATCTGTATATAACACAGTCCATCAATAATGCAGCAAATTGTTCCTTTTTCTTCCACTTACACTTTTAGCACATGTTTTGGCCCTAGATGGCCATCTTCAGGTGTCTTAATATAATAAAATAAAATAAAATCCACTAAAATTTTCTATTAAAATATTTTCATTATATACGGGCGCGCGGTAGCGTAGTGGTTAAGGCACTATGCTACAAGCTGGAAGGTCCCGGGTTCAAGTCCCGATAAGGTCATTGTATTTTTTTCAGTTGACCCAATCCTTCCAGCTTCACTATGGCCCTGGGGTTCACTCAGCCTCTAACAGAAATGAGTACCAGGAATTAATTAAATAATTTTCCTGGGGAGTAAAGCACGGCCGGCACGTAAGGCTGAGAACCTTACCGCCATATCTGAGCCGATTGTCTAGATAATGTGGGACCCTCAACGTCTCACAACCCTATGGGCCTCCACGGCATGGTACAGGGATAGCTTTACTTTAGTTGTTACTTTTATTGTAAATTTCTATTCCACCTACAAGGGGTGTTCTCCACTTATTTGGAACTATGTGTTTATCACCAAGTGTTTTATTGAAGCAACTTGTTTGTTATGTTCGTTAGCTAGTTGTTCTGTTACTTCTGCAATCTGTAATCTACAAAATGCCACATGTTAATATTGTTTTTTTATTCTTGTTATAAATGTTATATTATGTTGGTTTAATTTATACTCGGCCGTGCCATAGCTCAAGTAGTTAGTTGCTGGCTTCCCACCCCGGCGGCCCTTCGATCCCGAGTCTGGTCAAGTGGGATTTGTGGTGGACACAGTGGCGCTGGGGCGGATTTTCCCCAGCCAATCTACATTCCACCAAATACTCCATCATCAAAATCACCCGAGGAAGGCTACAATAGGCCAATCAGTGGCCACCATGCTGAGTGGACCTAGTTGGACTCCACCCCCCACTAAGCGAATTAAAAAAAAAACTCACATGCCCCTTGCTTGTGCATTGTTCCCTCTAGCAGCTTGTGGTGTGTCTTCACTAGTCCTCACTTCACTTAATATATTAGGACACCTGAAGATGGCCATCTAGGGCCAAAACATGTTGTGTTAAAAGTGTAAGTAGAAGAAAAATGAACAATTTGTTGCATTATTGGCGGACTGTGTTATACATATATGTTTTAATATGACTTGCAACAGGATGCTTAAATACAGAATTACAAATAGTATGGCGTCATGTTTATAGAAACAGGTAAAAAAATGGTGAGATGTAAAGTTAGTTCAATGCTGGCAGTGTAAGTGACAAGAAGACAGTGCAGTGATATACAGTATATTAGTCATGTACAAGACAAGCTGACATCAAGGTCTAAGTGGCTGCCAACAATGAGACAGTGACTGTGCCAAAATGTGATAAATATTACGATATTTAGTCCTAGAAACAACCATTTATTCTCATTATGTTTCCTGTGTGCCATTCATATCAGCCTGGACCATGTTCTTTTTCCTCTCCCTCCACTTGGATGTGTGGCCACCTTCCATGAACTCTTCCCATATAATCTAACCACATCATCACCCTGAAGATGTTGGCAGGATGTGCTTCAGTATTTGTATGCCCTTACAAGACCGTACGGTGTTACAACCCTAAAGACCATAATGTTGTTCATTGATATTATACCTTTCAACTCTAAAACAATGATGAAAGAAAGTGTAATGTATGACCATTCAAGATTTTTCTAGTCTTGCTTTCCACAAATGGTCCTACCTACCCTGGTGAACACGCTGACAAGCTTTTCCAAGGAAAAGGTTCATGAACATCTTAAACACCTGAGTCAGACTGACACAGAGTAAGTAATCCAAGGTCATGCCATATCTTAGGAGGTTACACTGTCTTCACAGTGCTAAGGCATGGTTTCAGTTGCAAGGCAAAAAATATGGAAGTTAAGTGGATAGTATGGCATTGTGAGAATTTGTTACCCAAGCACTTTAGCTTTCCCATTCTGGTCGTATTATCATGAGTAGGTCATGTGGTCCATCATCATCCCTGACTTGAATATGAATCGACTCAACCAGCATGATATCACGAATTCCAATTCCTGTTGGGAATTCACATCTGACTTGGCATTTCTTTGGATACAGTTTTATTTACAGTTCAGTCTTGTTGCCAGATCTTGTATTACCTGTATACATAAGGTAAACAAGCTCTCCATAGCCTCTTTTCTTGTTTTCATTTGCAGGACCATCTAGGTTTATCTCTGCACCCAATTCAAGTAGTGTTTGTGGTTAGAGTTGTGTTAAATATCGGAAACTCACGTATGCTGTGCCACTTCCCAAGCAATGGCTAATGCAGCGTTGATGGCCATATCAACTGGAACCATGTCTGCTGCGATGTCTTTGTCACAGTGCAAGGACTTAAGAAGGCCAATTGCTGCACCTGTCACTGCTCCTGCTGCACCATACACATTGTTGATCCAAGCCACTACAGGTTCACTTGCAGTGTTCACAACTGTAAAAACATCAGAAGAAATGGGATTATCAGTGGCTATTGTAGGTGCATGTTCCTTCATCAAACCTAATGAGTCCATCATTCACGAGAATATTTTTACTATCTGACATTAATTTAACTCTTTGCCCATTCTATTTAAAACATCAGTGTATGTTCTTTTCTCTAGGTATTGTCATTTTAAATAAGATTTGATTATTTAGGAAGGCAGTACCCTTTTACTTTTACTATGTTAGGATTAGCAAAGGGTTAAATCCTGGTGTAGCAGAGGATAATTTCTGCCCCACAGACAGACTATTGTAATCTTAAGAGATTATCTCATGGTTATGTGAAACTTACATGTTGGTGAAACCATCTCTGAGACTATGGTGTTACAACCCCAGAGACTGCGATCTAGAGTTCTTAGATGCGGTAAATGTGTACATGTTATATAGCCCAGCGTCAGAAAAGAAGTATGATAGTAAATGCAGTCTGTCTGGTGCTTTACTATCTGAAAGTTTAATCGGGTTTCATCATATTTGATACTCATAAGTGTTTACAATTCTTCGTGCATATGCCACTACTAACTTTATTAGTCTGTAATTAGCCAAGTGCTAGGTCAGAGATAAAGCCCACAAGTGAAACATCAGGCCTGTGGTAATGTGCTGCTTGTTCAGGTTTATTGAACACAATTTATAAGAATATATACATTAAAGATTACACAGGAGCTGGGATAGCTCTGTTGGTATAGCGACTGCAGTCTGGATGGCTGGGGTTCGGTTCTTGTGAGGGCAATAGGTTTTCCTCTGCTTCAGACCAGCTGTGGGGCCCATTCAGTATCCCACCCAAAGAGTTCCAGGGGCTCTTCCTGGGGATATAGCGACTGAGTCATGTAGCTGATCACATATCATATAGTGCCAAGGTCAAGAATGGTCGAGATATACCTCCACTGCCCCGTACATCCCTATATAAGCATAGTGCTTATTTAATTATGCAGAGGGACAGCTTTACCTTTCACAGGTTACATAGAGCAAGATATATTTTAGTGCCAGTCTCACATTCACTGAACATAACATTAATATAATTGAGGCTCTGCATCCAAATCATGGTTGTATTCTGGACTGAAGGAAATGCCACTACTAAAATGATGAAGTCTGTCAAAATATTAAGTTTTCATGTTCTAAAGTGCCAGTGGGTAAAATATAAATGTGTGAATGAATATTTTAATGAAATTTTACAACATTTTTAATGTATTTATCATAACAGAATTAAAGAAAGGAAAAAGCAGTTATTTCAATAACTTCATGCTCTCCCCCCCTCAAACACATATATAGCTGCCATATATGTTGTAGCCATCGAATTCTGGGTGAATCATTTTGATAACTTTTATTACCTTAACGTGAATTGACTTTTTGGAATTAATTAAAGTAGTGTGTCGGTCACCAAAGTAGGTCAAGTGAGTTAGGCAGATTCTGTAACTTAGACAGGACGCTGGAAGTAGGAGGCTAGGATACACAATCAGAACTCCTTTCAAAATCCTGTCCTTGATATTAGAAGAAGTTGTAGCTTTTAGGGTGGTGTTTCCAGGGCTGACACTGCTTCTACATTTAATTATCTGAGCTGGTAGCAGACAAGATCTAAGCTGCTTGCTGCTTGCTTGTGTTTGCAGTTTGGGAGCACAAGGTGTTTTTGCATTCCTGGCTGTTTGAAACAGCTGGTTAGGATTTTGAGGAGGATGCCCTGCATTCAAGTTTGTGAAACCGAGGAGAGATGACTTTCTGTTGGAATGCTTGGCTTGAACACATTATAAATTCTACTGAATGTGCTTTGACATGTCAGAGTACCATCCAGCCCCAAATTCTAAATGTTAACTTAGTGACCTTTTTTGCTTTCAGGAAAATAAGAAGTCGCTATTTGGCAGTTCAAGTAATTAAATATAAATGGTCTTTCAGAAATGTTGAAAGTGTTCGAATTTAGGTTTTCCTAACATTGCACAGAGAAAGCAAACTGTTGTGTCCATGCAACCACATGAATGCATCAATAAAAAAGCAGTTGGGATCATCATTTGCCTTCTTATTATGTGAATGGGTG